ACACCCTTCATTCCATACACCTACACCGTACTATCACACCCTTCACTCCATACACCTACCCGTACTAACACACCCTTCACTCCATACACCTACCCGTACTAACACACCCTTCGCTCAATACACCTACCCGTACTATCACACCCTTCACCCACCACCTACCAGTACTAACACACCCTCCACTCCATACACCTACCCATACTATCACATCCTTCACTCCATACACCTACCCATACTATCACATCCTTCACTCCATACACCTACCCGTACTTACATGTATCTCACCCTTCACTCCATACACCTACCCGTACGCACACATCCTTCACTCCCACATGCAGACGCGGTGGTGCCGTATACGCCACCCTCAACGTATACCTACACAAAGGTGTGTTTGCTGGTAATTCCGCAGGTGAGCCTGGTGGGGCCGTTTTCTCTACACGCAATGTGGACGTTGAGGAAACGACGTTTAACGGCAATGTAGCACAGTCAGGGGCGGGCGTCTACACAACCTCATATGCCACCTTACACTACGCAATGTTCTCGGACAACTTAGCAGAGGAAAGGTGTGTGTAGGTAGGAGTAGTTGAGTAGGTAGGTAGACCTGTACCTGTGATGGCAGGTATGGTTTTTCGCATTGCTGCATAGTTGGGAGGGGGCTGTAGGGGGTGTGTGTCTATCCCTCCACCCCCTCCTCCGCTCCGGCTGTCAAGTATACTTGAAAGGGTATTCGTATTTCAAGTAGCCGGCTGGGTGGTACTTAAGTAGACTTAGTTACATAGGTAGACTTAGGTAGATAGGTAGACTTTGTTTCATAGGTAGACTCAGATAGGTAGACTCAGGTAGATATGCAGTTAGACTTAGGTAGATAGGTAGACTCAGGTAGATATGTAGGTAAACTTAGGTAGATAGGTAGATCCAGGTAGATATGTAGGGAGACAGGTAGACTCAGGTAGATATGTAGGTAGACGTAAGGAGACAGGTAGACTCAGGTAGATATGTAGGTAGACGTAGGGATATAGGTAAACTCAGATGGATATGTAGGTGGACCTAGGGCGATAGGTAGACTCAGGAATATATGTAGTTAGACTTGAGCAAATGAAGGTTCCTGATGCTCAAGCATAGCGGCTGGAGGCTTCTTCTGAGCGGATGCCTATTCGCTCTAAAATGATTGGGACTCCTCTCATCACTTGACCCTCTGTACTCGCCTTACTACACATGTGATATGTCTGCAACGACGTCTCCCTAGACAAACCCTAAAAACCCTAAACCCTAAAACATATCCACAGACACGGTCACATATCTCAATATATAGTATATCGATGTACAAGTTCAACCGTTTCTAAACGTTCATCTAAGATTAAGCCATGGTTGTTGCTTTTCAGTTTAAACGTGCAAAACCACACGTGTCTGAGCTAACGGATTCAGTTGTATCTCGTATCTTCAATCGCTCACTCTCAGGGGAGGGGCGCTGTATACCGGCCAGAAAGTGGACATCGACAACTCCCAGTTTAAGAACAACACATCACTCGACCGAGGTGGTGCAGGTAGTGTATCTGGCAGCATGGTTGTGTGCTTGCGTGGTGTTGGTACACGGATGTCTGCTCACTGCTTGGTCATTATCGGGGACATATCTCATTGTGTGTCCTGTTTATTTCGGATTGCACCTGGTTTTGCGGTCCAAGTATTCTCGGGCCCGAGTGCAAGTTTTTAGGGTTTTGCGGTTTTTAATTTCAATCAGTACCAGCGTCTTTGCAGAATATGTTAGTCGTGGTGTGGTGTTTGTATGTTCAAGTATAGTACGTATACTATACATCTGCATGTTCCAAGTATAGTAGTAAATCACACATCTTCATGTTATAGTGTAATAGTATAATAATATAATAAATAATAGTATACAAGTATAAAAGTATCTCTTACATATACGGGCATGCATCCTACTTCTAAATACCTACCATGCACACTTCTCAATGCCATATCATGCACACTTCTCAATGCCATATCATGCTTGTGGCTATACGTTTATTCATGCTTGTGACCATACGTTTATTGCGCTTTTAGTCTTCTCTGTCAAGAGCGCCAGTATTACCGACAGCACTTTCGAAGACAACACAGCGACCGTTAACGGGGGAGCCGTGTATGTCGAGGAGAACATCACCTGTAAGTGCAAAACGTACATTACGTAAACTGTTCTATGAGCAGTAGTGCGTTTGTTGACGAGATTATCACGCATAAGTGGAAAACGTATAGTGCGTAAACTATTCGATGGATACTAGTTCTTACGTTGAAGAGAACATCATCTGTAGGTGAAAAACGTATTTTACGTAAACTCTTGTATATAAAGGCGTGCATTTATAATTGTATCTATAAACACATATGTATATACACTCATGCGGGTCTACATACCAGAATATTCGGCTGTGTGTTGTATAAATATCACACATCGTCATAGATACTCCCGTGTGTCTACATGTCAACACAGGCACGTACGGCACCTTCATCAACAACTCCGCTGGCAACCGCACGGGCAACAGCCAATCGACCAAGGTAGTTGACACGCTACTGTTGTACTCAATGATTAACATGTCAGCTGCAAATAGTGTGTGTGCACCTACCTGCACACGCACACACCGGCATGGGTTTAGGGTTTTAGGGCTTCAGGTTTTTAAGGTTGTAGGGTTTTAGTGTTTAAACAAAAAAAAACTCTAAAACCGCGCTCTCGGCATGCGCGCGTGTGCGTATGTAAGGGGTGACTGTCGTGTGCATAGTCGCACATGGTGTATGGAGGTAATAGACTGCATTGTATAGATATCCGCGTGCGTGTTGCGTTCACACGCGTATGTAAGGGGTGACTGGCTTGTGTATAGTCGCACATAGTGTAGGTAGGCAATAGACTTCACTGTATAGACATCCGCGTGCGTGTGTGCGTTCACACGCCTATGTAAGGGAAGACTGTCTTGTGTATAGTCGCATATAATGTAGGTAAGTAATATACTGCACTGTATGACTGATAGTAATAGTAAACTCCTGTCTGGTGCAATGGTTGGCTTGGGTTGTGGGTTGTTTATAGGATACGCCTCCATAGTACAAACCGCATATAAACAGTAGCACGCTTCTAAAGACAGTACCACGTCCGTACCATGCTTAGTTATTAAACAGTATCACATTTATATTGTGTTTGTTATAGCGTGTGCATATCCATTGCATAGTATCTTTGGTATTCGCAATGTTTGCATCTCACCAATTGGACTCGTCAGATCCCTTCTCGTTAGATGGGTCCGCATATCCCAAAACAATCACAGTTAAACACAAATTTATTTTTGTTTGTGCTGTAAACCAAGTTTTTTTGTCGCTAAAACCGCATTTTTTTCGGCCCGCTCCTGCATTATAGGCCAGGGGTGGTGCTATGTTCATCTACGACGGGGGAAGCCTGGAGATGTACAACTCCACGGCTGAGCGTAACCATGCCAACTGGAACGGTGGTGTTGTATACACCGAAGGACCCGCTGGTATACACTGTAAGTGGCACATGTGTAGCACTGATTATATA